TCCAGCTTCAGGAGCAAACAGCTAGTTGAAAATTCAAAGCAGCCAAATGATTGCCTTTTTTCTCCAGTCTGCCCCTAGCTCTCTTGGCAAATCTTTTCAAATGCAAATATCTAAGCCTCCTTCTTGGCATTTCCTACTAACATATTTAACAGTTCCAATTTAATGGCTGAAGGCAGTGAGCTTACAAACACTCTATAGTCATACTTTCCAATAATCACTCCTATCATACATTATATCAATAACAATTGGTAGAAGAAATCAGCACAATCCTAGTACAGCCAGATCCTAAACTCAATTCTTAAAACCGTCAAATTCAATCTTTTCTTAGCTAGACTATCCCATTGATATTCAATATGATCTTAGGCTTCTGGCTGCATCAACCAGGGCCAGGCATCACCTCAGAGAAGTTCTAGGGGCACTTTACACCTGTTACCTTTGTACTCACCATTTCAGTTAGGAATAACCAAAGACAGCCTCTAGGCATCGACCATCACTTCCCACCTCCGGGTTAACCACGGAAGAAAAAACTATCATGGGAGGTCAGACAAGCCTCCAACTTCCATCCTCATGATTTGTTTCTCTAGTGCCCCACTCCTCATGTAACATGTTAGAGAAACAAATCCAGTGACACTCATCTATGTGAAAGAAAGAGATTTTTATCAAGAAGTAATTATATATCAAGGAAGCATTCCAGCCCAGTTCAGCTTAAGTCCATAAGTCCAATACTAGTCCCCCTTCAGCCACGCACAGCCAAGTGCAATGATGCAAATGCAGGGAAACCACAGACCAGTGAGTGCATTGGCATGTGTATTCAATGGTGGTGGCTCTGGCAGAAATCCGGATCAGCCACCAGGATGGTGAGGGCAGCAGAGAGAGCTAAGTGGAGGTTTCCAGCATCCTTCCTATAAGAAGGTCACACCCACAAATAGACACCATCGGGCTGTGACCTGATTGACAGGTTGAATACTACCCCTGCACTTTTATAGATCTTCAAGTTGGAATTGCAAATTTGACAAATGTACCAAGTGTACTGGAGAGTACTTTGAAGGTGATATGGTTGTTTTGTAGAACAATTTAAATACATAATTTTGGAAAAAAAATCCATGTTTTTTGGGACACCCCATCATATATGCCAATAAACCTGTTGGAAACACATCATATATACACACAATGATTGACCCTCAAAATCCATTAATCAAATCCTCACAGAAATGAAGAGAGAAATAGCTCAACAATAATTATGGGAGACTTCAATAAGCCAGTCTCAAAGAAAGATCATCAGGAAAGGATCTCAATAATGACAAAGAAAGGTCTAAAAATATAATAAATGAACCAGATGTTCTAGACCAGGGGTTAGCAGATTTTGAGACCAAGGAACCAATTTTGCCACTCCCAACAATTTAAAAATTATTCAAGGGCCATAAATCTATTTCTACAAATAAATGAAATCACTATTGTTTGAATCATACCCTTAGATGAAATTATGACAGTTTTATTTTCATTTTAAATTTTACTTCAGAACCATATGTATTTAGCAAAAGAGCTACCTGTGTCTCTTGAGCCACAGTTTCCCTACCCCTGTCCTAGACAAATATGGAACAATGGTAGCGATTCTACAACACTGCTTGTTATGACTGAACTATTGAATGATATAATATCTGGATTATGTCTTTATAAAATAAAACATACAGTATACAGTTTCCTCCAGAGCACAGAGAATATTTTCAAGAATACACCACACACTAGGTCAGAAAACATGCCTTAATAAATCCCCCAAATTGAGATTTGGCCATCTATTTTCTGAGATTTGGCAATACTATAAAACTAGAAATCAACACTAAACTAGAAGCAACAGAAACAAAAAAAAGTAAACACATGGAAATAGAACTCATACTACTAAAAATCAAGCAATGAATCAAATAAAATTTTAAATCCTTGAAACAAATGAGTAAGGTAGTATAGCATTTCACAACTTTTTGGGCACAGCAAGAACAATGCTCAGAAGTCAATTTATTGTAATCAATGTACACATTAAAATATTTTAATACAACACCTTTAGCAACTGGAACAAGGACAACAACATAAACCTTCCAACAGAAGAAAATGACTGCTGAGAAACATAAGAGAAAGAAAGGTACGATGTAAATACCTGGAATGAGAGATGAAAAGGGTGATATCACAACAAACCCAAATGAAATAAGAATAGTAATAACACACAACTATAAAAAACCTGTACTCCAACAAATTTGATACTCTAGAAGACATGGGAGGACTACCTAGAAATACACCATCCACCTAAATTAATGCAGACAGATGCATTCATGCGAAAACTCAACAGACATAACAAAAGAAGAACTAGAGATGGTCATTAAGAAATCTCCAAGCAAGAAAATCCCAGGACTTGATGGCTTCTCAGGGGAATTCCACCAAATATTTAGGGAAGACCTGTGACCAGTGCTACTCAAACTCTTCCAGAATATTGAAAAGAACAAAACACTCCCAAACTCATTGTATGATGTTAGTGTAACCTTGTTACTAGGACCAGGCTAAGACCCCCACAAAGAGAAAATTACAGACCAATATCAGTCATGAATATGGATGTAAAAAACCGCAACAAAATTCTGGCCAATAGAATTCAACATTATATCAACAAAAAAAAAGTCACCAAGACTAAGTGGAATTCATACCGGGGTTGCAAGGATGGCTCAGCATTCAAAAAACAATAAATGTATCCCAGTATGTAAGCAAGGTAAAGGGCAAGAACCAACGATCACTTTAATACATATGGAGAAGGCTTCTGAGCATATGCAACACCCATTTGTGATAAAATCACTTGACAAAATAGGGATAGAAGAGAAATTCCTCAACATAATAAAGCTCAGATATGAATAACCAACACCCACTACCATGGTCAGTGACGAAAAACTAGAAACATTTTCCATGAAAATGGGGACCAGACAAAATTGCCCCCTATCACTATTTCTATTCAATATTGTACTGGAAATTTTAGCCAGAAAAACAAAAAAAATTGAGGGAATAAGAATAAGCAAAGAAGAAGGAAAACTTAACTGTTTGCAGATAATATGATTATATAGAGAATCCAAAAGAATCCTCAAAAAGACTATTGGAAACAATTGAGGAATTTGGCAAAGTAGCAGAATGCAAGGTTAACAGGCAGAATCAATTGGATTCTTGTATACTAGTAAAGAGAGCTCTGAGAAAGATATTGAGAAAGCAATACCATTCACAATAACCAATACAAAGATAATATACTTAGGAATAAACCCAGCCAAAGAAACAAAAGACCTGTCAAAAGATAACTACAGAACCACTAACACAAGAAACCTAAAAAAGACCTACATAAATGGAAGAATATCTCCCACTCATGGATAGCCAGATTTCATTTTGTGAAATAGCAATATTACCGCAATCTATAGATACAATAGAATTCCAACTTCAATCTTTTAAAAGTGGAAAAACGAATTACTATCTCATTATGGAGAAGGAAGAGGCTCAGGATAAACAAAGACCTTCTTGAAAGAAGCACCAGGTAGGAGACCTCACACTACTTGCCCCCAAATGGAACAAAACTGAAAACCCAGAAGTAAATTCATCCATGTATAGCCAACGAATCTTCCACAAAGGACCAACAGCCGTCAAATGTCCGCCTATACCCTAGGGGGGTTGATAAATACTATTTTCTCTCATAAAATAATATGCTGCTTCTTAAAGTAAACTAAAGATGTTTATAAACCAGAGGTATGTGAATGGATTTCGGATTCACACTTAATTCTAACCCCAAACCTAGGAACAAATGGTTCTTATGACATGGCCCTGCTCAATGCTCATGAAGAGGTCACTGAAGTTATGGGTGCTATAGGAAAATGTAGTGAAGAAAGCAAATGGTGCCTGGCTTTCAAAAAGAGTAGTGCCTGGGGTCTTAAAGGCTTGTCTTCAAAGAAGGCTTCATTTCAAGGAGGAATCAACTAAGTCTACATAGAAGAAACACACCAGCCTGTGTGACCCAAATATGACAAATAGTGAACTACAAACACGAAGGAGGGAATAATACCAGAGCTTACATTGTGAACACTTGGTTTGCAGAAGGCTATGGATAACAGTGGAGACCCAAAATCCATTTGCAGTGTCCCTACATGAATGAAGCCTCTAGTAAAGCCCCTCTGACCATAGTGGAGGGATTTGAATAGCCTTGCTCTCTGACGGGAAGCATTGTAAACTCGATTATGGTAGATCTAGTTTGGTAAAAATGTCATACTTATCATTAGAGCTCTTGACCTATTTTAAAATTGTTTCATTCATATTGAAAAACAGTGAAGAGGAAATACACATGGATTACACCTACGGTGAATCCCCTCTGTCCATGGACCATGTTGTGAATAACCTTGTGAGATGATGAAGACTCTACAGAAAGTGATTGTTGCAGAATCACTGGGCTAAAATATAACACTTCCTTTTGATCTCCCCTTTGACCTATTTTAGTTTGTGATCTCTTTTGCTTTTAATTCTATTTAGAGTTTTCTTTGTAATTGCTGGTTTGTATTTTGTATGTTTTCCAGAATACATAAATCTACAGCGATAGTAGATGGCTTAATAGTTTAATGGGGGAATGGGAGGTGAGGAGGGAGGGAAATATGGCACTAATAACAACGAGTATAAGAAGGATGAGAATGTTCTAGAACTTATGGTGGTGATGAATACATAGTTCTTTTTTAATGACCAAACATTTGTAGATATGTGAAAAATATGTCAATAAAACTCCTAAAAGTTAAATACATACATACAAACATGCATGCATAGTTAAAAGAAGAAGCAATATGAGCTGTATTAAGAAAATATATAGACTTTTTATTACTTTTGACAATAACTTATAAAATGTACATTATTAGGGTGATATAAATTGACTAATAATCACAAACAATGCATTTGGTTTTTATGCTGCATGTTAAAAAGTCTTATGTTCTACTTTGTTTTAATTTTAGGTTTGTAATCAGAACCTGAACTGTCAATGTGATGTAGGATATGCACCTCCTTTTTGTGATCCAGCACCAGCATCATTTGGGGGAAGTATAGATGATGGATTTTGGCGTGTAACAGGTAATATATCAATGTCTTCCAACAGAGCTTTATACACTTGTAGAAATGATATTTGTCTCTACTAACTTATGGAAAACACAATCATCTGATATGTAAAAGAGGAAAATGAGGAATTGAATTTTCAATATAATTCTATTTTAGTTAATTTTATTTTTAATAGTCTCATGTCATCAGTGGTTATTAGATAGTGCGCTCTAGTTAATATTGTCATTATAAATATAATATATACTTTTTCATTTTAATCTAGAAGTGAATATCAAATGACTTGTTCCCTATCTTTACCCACATTTTTCAGAACAGTTATAAAGAAGAGTTTTTACATCATTAAAGTATGTGAATGGGAATATATTTTAACTACATCTGGATGTCTATTCTTATTTTTTACATATCATGATGTAGTTAAAGTATATAAATGGAAATATAATTTAACTATATATAGTATGTGTATTTTTTGACATATCATGATGTACTAATTTAAAAATGAGTTTCACATTTATAGCAAGCCATAGTATTCAAAGAAAAAATATCTTACATATTAGTACTATGTGTGGATAGTAGGCATTGTTAGCCATTCCTGAATCACTTGATATTTTCTCATATAATCTTTCAATATAGCAACTGGAGGCAAAATATTTCTTGAGTTTTTTCGGTTTAAGATCTGCTGAGAGTGTTCTTCCCTTATGGTTTTCTAACTCCAGGTCTGTACATTTCATTAGAATATTTGATTTTCTGCTGCTTCATGAAGTTTTCTGTTCTCCCTTTGACTTCATAGTTTCTTCCATTTGCTTTAGCTACTGTATAATTAATAGCCTTTGGAAGAATGTGAACTCCATAACACTTACTTGTGCTCATGCAAAACTTCTATCTGGATCAAGAACAGACTAGGGAAGCAGGTCTTGGTTTAAAATCAGGATGTCAGAAGTATATCTTTTCAGAATACTTATTCAATCTGTATGTTGAACAAATAATCAGAGGCTGGATTATATGACGAAGAAGAATGCGGCATTAGAATTGGAGGAACGCTTATTATCAACCCACAATATGCAGATGACATTATCTGGCTTGCTTAACACAGAATACTTGAAGCACTGGCTAATGAGGATCAAGATTTTCAGCCTTCAGTAGATTATAACTCAATGTAAAGAAGACTAAAATCTTCACAACTGGGCCAATAGGTAACATCATGATAAATGGAAAAGAGATCGAAACTATCTAGCATGCTATTTTTCTCGAATACACAACCAATGCTCATGGAAGCAGAAGTGAAAAGATCAAAAGACACATTGCATTAAGTCAATGGGCTGCGAAAGACCTCTTGAGAGTGTTGAAAAAGAAGGATGTTACCTTGAGAACTAAGATGCACCTGACTCAAGCCGTGGTACCTTCATTTGCCACATATGCATGTAAAAATTGGATATGGAATAAAGTATTGCTACATTGGAATTATGTTGTTGGAGAAGAATATTGAAAGTACCTTCGACTGTCAAAAGAACAATTAAGTCTGTCTTGGAAGAAGTAGGGCAAGAATGGGCTCCTTACAGCCAAAGATGGCAAGATGTCATCTGACATACTTTGACCAGGTGGTCAGGAGATGAATCCGTGGAGAAGGATTCTCTGTAAAGTAGAGGAGTAGTGGGAAAGAGGAAGGCCTCCATAAGATGGATTAGCACCGCGGCTGCAACCTTGGGCTCAAGCACAGAAATTATTTTTAAGATGACACAAGACTGGACAGTGTTTTGTTCTGTTGTACATAGGATCATTATGGGCCAGAACCGACCTACTGGAACTTAACAACTATAGTATAACATCATCTCTTCCCCAAAATGTAATAAATTAGGTTTCTGTGTATTCCACGTGAAAACCATATTTTCAAACTACTGTTCCTATCTTACAGTTTCCAACTTTTGCATTCCAATCACCAATACTTATCAATACCTCTTTATTGTGTGTTAGAACAATTTCAGACTGAAGGCAGTAGCATTCCTCAACTTCTTCATCACTGGCCTTTGTAGTTAGTGCACAATCTGAATAATGCATTGATTAGATTTACTTGTAGGCAGATAGATACAATCTTATAACTGATTGCTTTGGAATTCAAATTAGACCTTGGAATGTCTATTTGGATGATGAATGCAAATCCATTCTTTTAGATTATTTTATTCCTGGCATAGAAATCATGCTATTCTAATTCAAAATGACCAATATCAGTGCATTTCAGCTCTCTAGTACCTAGGATATTGATCTTTATATTCCATTTAATTTTTGATTACTTCCAGTTTTTCTTGATCCATTTTTCATATATTCCAAGTTCTGATTATTTGTACATTCACACACACACACACACACACACACACACACAGCATTGTTTCTTCTCATTTTGGGTTTTACCCCATCAGCAAATGAAGATCTTGATGGCTTTACACCACAGGCTCCATTCATGTCACCAAGGCCAACTCTACTTTGAAAAGCATCTCCTCCTTTTCAAAGTAGAGTTGGCCTTGGTGACATGAATGGAGCCTGTGGTTTAAAGGCTTGAAGGTCAACAAGCGGCCATCTAATTCAGAAGCAACAAAGCCCACATGGAAGAAGCACACCAGCCTGTGTGATCA